CCATCCATAGGACCCTGAACATAAAAGATTTAAATGCATCCCACTGGATCTTCATAACAGCCCTGTGAGATAGGTACATATTATGCATTTTACAGATGAGGAAACTGAGATAATTAACAAAGGCAAGTCTACCACTAAGTGCTGAAGGCAAGACTTGAGCTCAGGTCGTAGGATGGATCACAAGATGGAAAGCTAGAAGGGAGGGGTTCTTAAGAGACTCGTATTTTGAATATCTAGAGTCAAAAGAGATTTAGTCCAATCTCTCCTGCCCCACCCCTCAATCTGACAGATGAGGAAATTGAGGCCCAGAAAGTTTAAGCTATGGCCTAAGGTCACATAGAAGAAGCAGTAGAGAAGGGGCCTCTCCTGTCTCTTCCTGCAGTATGATTTCTATCACACTCATCTCACTCACTCACACTCACATAGTTCATGGGTCAAAGCTAGGACTTGAATCTAGTTCCGAGCCTATCTAGGACTTTCTCCCTGCCATTCCCTCTTATGAGTAGATCAGTGAGTGAGGTGAGTAAGTGGAGAGCAGAGACTGTATTCTCTGGGCTACATCATTTCTCACAACTTTACAACCCAGGGAGGACCCAAGAATTGAGAAGGTCAGAACTGCCCAGGACCTTGGGAGGTTATTGGGATCACAGATTTAGAGCTGGATTGGACCTAGAAACCATGTAGTCCAACCTCTTTATTTTACAGATGAGGAAACCGAGACCAGAGGGAGGGTGTTAAGTGTTTTCTCAAGGTCACACTCAAGCATCAGAGGCAGTATTTAAATTCATAACTCTCCTGTCTCCTTCCATTGTGTATATTATATATGTATATAATATATGATATATGTCATATATAAGTATCCTATAATATATAAATATGTTTAATAGTTAAATCTGGGAGAAACTTAGAATATGGAATGTCTGAGTTGAGAAGGACTCTAGAACAGAGAATGTCAGAGCTGGCCTTAGAACAGGGAAGATCAGAGCAGGAAAGGACCTTATAACTCAAGATATTAGAACATAGAATGTTAGGTGCTTTGAAAGGCTCTTAGAAATTATCTCCTATAGCTTGCTCATATTGTGAGTGGTCACATTACAGGTGGGTAAGAGAGAAGTAACTTCCCCAGGTCAATAGCAAGTTTGAAGCAGAATCAGGACAACGATCTAGGCCACCCTCTGATTCCCAAGTCAGACTTCTTTCCTTTGTACTAAACTTGGTTTCCAAACAGGCTTGAATGCCTGGTCCCATTGATATTGATAATAACCAGACACACAGTTTAACTCCAGTGAGGTTGGTCAAAGTCAGAATCCAACTTGAATTTCTTAAGGAGCATTGTGGAATGCAGGATGCTCAGTCCTTTGACTAAGTAATTCAGTTGAATTGAATTTTCAAGGTTTGCAGTTTCAAGGATGTATCTGAGCACTGTGTCCATCCACTGATGGACGTCTCAAGGCCATCCTGCTCCCCACATGGTTTAAATGCATGGTCTTGGTGAGTAACTGGGGTCTCCAAACTTCATTCTCAAGGAAAGAAGTTTCAAATGATGAGCTGAGTTGCTCTGAGCTTATCCAAGTCTTCTGATGAACTTTGGCTTTTGGAATTTATTCAGAAGCAGGGAAGTGAGAGTCCCTGACCTCTGCCCTAGGCAGACTCTGTAGCTGGAACAGTGAATTCAGGTCTGGGAGACATATTTTAGGAAGGACACTGGGTCTATCCAGAGGTAAGAACCCAGGACAAACAAGGGACTGTCACATCTGTGTGATGTGGACATCAATTCTGAAGAAACTGGGCATGTTTGACCTGAAAAGCAGCAGACTTAAAGGGGGGGAGGGGCAGGAAGAGAAGGGAGGCACCATCATTGTCTCCATACATCTGGATGGCCCTCGTGTGAAAGAATGATGAGGCCTTTTCTGCTTGGCCCCAGAGAACAGAAGCAGGAGCAACAGGGAAGTATGCAGAGATTTCAGCTTAATGTCAGGAAGAAATGCCTAATTAGTGCGGTCCCCAAATGGAGCAGGCTGCCCTGGGAGGTGGTGGGCTTCCCTTCATTGGAAGTCTTCTAATTTATTTTAATTTTTAGGCAATTGGAGTTAAGTGACTTGCCCAGGGTCACACAGCTAATAAGTGTCAAGTGTTTGGTCTGAAGTCGGATTTGAACTCAGGTCCTCCTGACTTCAGCGCTGGTGCTCTATCCACTGCACCACCTAGCTGCCCCATTGGAAGTCTTCTAGAAGAGGTTGGATTCCCCCTTTGGTGGGCTATCGCAGAGGGGAAGCTTGTTCAGGTGACAAGTTGAACTCAGTCACTGATGTGCCCTCCAGCTCGGAGGGTTAGGGGGAAGGAGGAGACATTAGCCAGAACCACTCAGATCAGCCCCTTCAAGGGGAGCCCCTAAAACGAGCCTGCTTAATGCTACCAACAAAAGAACCGTGAGCGCATAACAGGCCATGTGAGATGACACCGAGAATCCAAGTTACCACATGAGGAATAATGTTTAGCTGGGCTCTGGTACAAGCTGTTGGCACTAAAACTAAGGAGATAGGATCAAGCAACCAGTCAATATGCATTTATTAAGCACCTACTGTGTGCTAGACACTGGGGCTACAAAGCCCAAAACAAAATAACCTCTGCTCTCAAGTAGCTTCCAATCTAGCCTGGGAAGGGGGAGGTCAGGAAAGGCAGTGTGCTCAAAGCTGGCACCCAGGCTCATGGTCTTTGATAGAGCAACCTTCCCATCCTTGGGGAGTCACATCAGAAAATTAACTGGAGATTGTGGGAGCTGAAGGAGGTACCCTCATAGCAAAAGTAAAATTTGCATTTAACGAGGATCAGTAATAATGATAATAGTAACTAGCATTCCTACAGGGCCTTACATTCATTTGATCTTGAAACAGGAGCTGTAAATAGAATTTCTTCACTTTACAAAAAAAGAACACTTGAGCAGAGATTAGCCATCCTAAATATTATCCCTAATTCTGGGTCCAATTGTGCTTCTAATTCCCTTTTTCTAACCCTACCCCTAATCACCTTGTCTAACCCTAACTCCCCATCTGATCCCTATTCTCTCTACTTTAACTCATGAGTTTTTCTAGGAGACTACGTCAAGCCTTTTCTACCTCTGAACCTGCTTACCCAAATCTTACACACACTACTAACAAGGTTGGTTATGTGCCCTCCCAGCCCAGGGTCGCTTAACTCAATTCATTAAGTACCTATTACAGACAAGGGAAATCTTACTATGCCACGCTCTGAAGATGCAAAACCAAAAAAATACAAAAACAGTCTGCCTTCTGTTTGTGTCTGGTGGGTATATATGTGTATTGGGGTGGGGAGGAAGGGAAGGAGAGGAGAAAATGAGGAATAACAAATCCTAGAGGGACCAGAGATAGGCTGGAACTAGACTAGAGACATACCTGGAAGTGGGGACAGCTGATAGCGAGGAAGACCACAGACACAGTAACTCATAAGCTTTAAGTATTTATGCATCTATATTACATTCTAGGACAGGGGAAGGGGGGTGAGATGCAAGAATCAGAATGGCAAGAGAGGCCACTGATGCTTGCCAAACTCTGTGGGGCTTTGGTAGTCTGAAGGGACGTCGGGGAGGTGATCGACGTGTGAACTCCAGAGGCCCAGTTTTTTCCCCAAAAGAAGATTGTTAGTGTGGCGCTCCTGGAGAACAGGGAGGGCTGACAGGCGGGCCCTGGAGACTGAGGGCACACGCCGATCGAATCATCACAGCCAAACCATAAGTCAAACAAGAGAACCGAGGAAGTGAACAAAACAAGACCGAGAATCAGACACAAGCCGAGGTCAGAAGCCCAAGGCCAGAGCTGGTCCTGGAGTATCATGCTACATAGATCCCTTGAGTGTGCGATCTGAAACCCCACGGAGCTGCTGTGCTGTGAGTGAGCTCCTAGGGGCCTCAGAGGGTCTGAATACAATGCAGTGACTCCTTCATTGGGTTTTTGGAACAGCCCCATGAAATCATCAATTTAGATGAGCTGGGCAAATGGTGATCAGTCAGTGCCTATGCAGGGCAGTACCTTCTCTGAAACTTAGAAGGTTCTTGGGACACGGTAAAGTGACTTATTCAGGGTCACGTAGCCAAACATGGGTTGGAGGGAAGACTTGAACCCTGGCCTGGCTGATTTTGAGGCGTGTTCTCTATCTGTTACACCATGATGCCAATGCATGCTGCCAATGACTAATAGACTCATTGTTAGTTAGAATACAAAATGTTAGATCTGGGAGGGTCTTTAGGGAATGGAATATCAGAGCTTAAAGGAACCTTATAACAGGGGTACCGAGCTAGGAGGGGCCTTAGAACATGCAATGTCAGACATAGAAGGGACCCTGAGAAATCATTTTGTCCAGTCCCCTAATTTTACAGAAAGGGAAACAGCCTGAGTTTTGAGGATAGTAAGATACCTACTCTCTTGGCCATGCAGCACCCCACCCTCTACAGCCTCGGTCTGGCTATTTTGGGAGGCTTAGGGGGACAGGACCAGTGACTGGGGAGCACTAGGCAGGGGATGGGCCATGAATAAGACATGCAGGGAAAGGGAAAAGGTTAAGGAAGAGGTGAGATGTGCGTGTTTGTGAACATTGAGAGTGTCTTTGCTAGGGAGAGATTTGTGAAGCCATTTCTAAAAAGTCTCTATAGACAATTGTCAATATAATCACTAACTATACAGTGGAAGAAACTGCCTGCTGCCGAGAGAGGTGACTTGCCCAAGGTCTCACAATGAGCTAGCGGCAGAATTGCCCTCAGAGCACATGTCTAGCCACTTTGGGGTCACTGGTTATCCTTGTCTACGATAACCCGGGCTCAGGAGATCACAGACGGAAAGTGCTTACTCGGTCCAGGTCCCCATGACCATGATCTTGAGGAAACAGCCAACGTTTAGGAACAGTCTATGGCTCTCATTTTCTCTCTCCCTCCCCCCACCTTGCCCCGTCGGCTTCTTTTCTTACCCCAGTTATAGCCACCCTCTGACCTTGGAATATGTTGGATCTCATATTGTATCCCAGCTCATAATAATCCGCGAACGCTGAGGATTCCATCGAACTTCGAGGCTTGCTCACACGGCTGCTCACCCGCTTCTGTCCCTCAATCACTTCATATATGGCCCTTCGAGCCTGGGATGAGGGTAGCTCACAGTGTCATGCCCTGCATCTGCCTAGGAATTCCTTCCAGTCTCAGGCCTCTCCCAGCTCTGACATTCCCTGTTTTACGACCCTCCCAGCTCCGACATTCTATGTTCTATAACCCTCTCAGCACTGACATTCTCCAAAGTACAGATTAGTTCAGGAATTCCTTGTCCTAAGGATCCTCCCAGCTCTGACATTCCATGTTCTAAGGTCCCTCTCGGCTCTGCCATTCCATGCTCCAAGGGCCACTTCATCTTTAAAGTAGGTCCCTTCATTGCCATCCCCCACCACTGATCCTTGGCTCTCTCATTCTCCCCTTCCCAGACCAAAGAATGCCCTAGAGATGATACCTGCTCCTCAGTCACCAGCTGATCCACTGTGTTGCTCCCAAACTTGTGCCGGATATTGTTGGGGATGCAGCTGACACTTTTGCCAACCATACCAGACTGGCACTCAGTACCAGAGTTGTCATTCCCTTCAGCCTTAGGTACCCTGCAATCCTCTGCTCCCTTGGAAGAATGCACCTCCTCTCTTGAGCTCATCCGGCTTGACCGAGAGGAGCCTCTTGACCCATGTTTCCTGGGGGTGACTGTCCCCCGACTGGGGATATCCCTCCCATCAGATGACCCAGTGTTCAACCTTGGTTCCCCAGAATGAGTTGTCCGCAGCCGGTTACCACTTTTCTCGATGATGTCTCTAGTTGGGGGAGTTCCCAGAGGGGATGGTGACTGGTTCTTGGAATGGGATTGGTCCAAAGGAGTCTTGGGTCCTCTCCGGGACTGACGGCCATTGTCTTTCTGGGATAATCTCTGGCTGTTTGTTGGAGGCCTGGATCCATGGGCCACATCTATAGATAAATGAGGATTAGGGACAAAGACAGAAAAGTAGAGACACAAACAGATAGACAAAGAAGGAGATGTAAAGGGGGGAGAAGATGGAGTGCAGAGAGAAGAGGAGATAAGAAAAAGACAGGAGAAAGGGCATTACAGTGAAAGAAAGAATGAGAAGAAAAGGGAAGGAAGAGAGAAAGAGGGGCAAAAGATGACATAGGAGAGAGATAAAAGGGGGAAAGAGTTGAGAGAAGAGGGAGAAGGAAGAGAGAAAGAAGGGGAAAAAGAGAGAAGGGAGAAAAATATAATTAAAGTTACAGAATCTCAGCACCTCTGAGGTGGTAGGATCTCTGTAGCCATCTACCCCAACCTGCACCTGGGCAGGACCCCATCTGCAATCTCACCAACAATTGGTCTTCTGACCTTTGCTGGAAGACCCCCATGAGGATAAGCTTATTCCACATATTGATGTTAAGGTTATGAAGTTTTTCCTTATATCTGCTCCAAATCTGTCCTTCTGCAACTTTTGATTTATTTATTAATCAAGCATTTATTTCCATATGCCGGGCAATGGGATAGTGACATGTCCAAGGTCCTGCAGGTGCTAAGTTGCAGGTTCTGAATTGGACTGCTAATCAAGTTGCACCTTCCACTGTATCCCATGGCCTCTCAACTATCTCACTTGTGGAATGGTCCAATATAAGAAACATTTATTGAGGACCATCCTATGTACCAGCCTTGAGCCATGCACTAGGTGGTAGTGAAGAGAGAAGAGCCTGGGGATCTCCTTCTTCTAGATCTGTCTTGTTAAACTGGGTGCATGGAGGGGGAGGGAACCAGTCAGGATTTGATCCTGGGCATCAGGCTCATTTAGTAGGGAACCTGCTAAAATCCCTTGTCCCAGAAACAATAGGTAGTGATCAAACTTTTGTCTTTTTGAGATTGAATTCTCCCAGAGTGCCCACGTAATCTCTTAGAGCAAACCTGGCCAGCCCAAAAGTCTTTCCTCCCTTTAGGAAGGTATGAGTGAGGTAAGGGGCATTATTTATTTTGTATGTACATCATTGTAATGGGAGCAACCCACTAAGCCCCATGACTGACTAGTCTGGTGAAACCCAGGACATTTCAGGTGGGTCGTGTGTGTGTGTGTGTGTGTGTGTGCGCGTGCGTGCGTGTGTGCGTGTGTGTGTGTGTATGCGCGTGTGTGTTGGAGGGGATGGGGGGTGGGAGTGGGCTCAAGGTTGAAGGACTTGGGTGGAGCTTTGGGATGACATTGCAATCCCTTGGTCCCATGATGGCAGCAAGGGATGCCTGTGTCATCTCAAAGTCCAAAGTCCCACACCACATTAAGTACTTATCAATGAAGGTGTTGGTTCTCTTGTAGAATGTAATCTCCTTGAAGGTAGGCCTGCTTCACTTTTGTCCTGGCTCAGTGAACTTAGACAAACGCTGCCTAGTTATTAAATGAGTAGACTTTACCTGCTTCACTGGGGGCTCAGACCCTTTGTCGTCATTAACCAAGGGAGTGAATAGACCTTAGCTCTGCCTGCCTTCATCTAGCTGGCCAACGATCTCCTTAAATGACCTAGGGCCCTCTTGTTTGGTATGGCAGGATCATGGTGGAGAGGAGGAAAGGAACAGCTTGTACAGATAGAGGCAGAAATAGGGGCACTTACGGAGGATAGGGAAGCCCTACAATATCCCCAGTAGCTCTCACAGCAAGAACTGGCTTCTTGCCTACACCTGCCATCTTGTCTACACCTCCTACCTGTGGTGTGGCCTGCTCCTTTTTTCTCTGTGTCATGTAGATCCAGATCCAAATCCTGTCAATGACAATACGAAAATTACAAACCAATACAAAGAGTCCACACTTCTCTAGCAGCTAGGGGGAGCAGTAAATAGAGTCCTCTGTGCCTGGAGTCAGGAGGACCTGAGTTCAAATCTAGCTTCAGACACTTTTGATCCTGTTTGACTCTCTGGGCAAGTCATTTGGCTTTTGTCTGTCTCAATTGTATGAAATGAGGATGATAATAACACTTATCTCTCACCAGGGTTGTTGTGGGAATCAAATGAGATAATATTTGTAGGGTGCTTGGCACAGTGCTTGGTAAACTATAGGTGCTTAATAAATGCTCTTCCCCTTTCCCTTAAAGTTTCTAAGACACTTTGCAGCAACTCTGTGTAGATATCGTTACTCCCCATTTCACAGATGAGAAAAGGGAAGTGGTCTGCCTACGACTTCATAAGCAGTAAGTGCAGCCTCCAAGATTCACACCTTGGTCTGTCCTTACTCACTGTCTGGTCCTCTTTCTACTACACAGAGAACTAGACAAATCCAGGGTGCCAAATAACTGGGCCCTTAGAGCTTCCTTTCTCTGCCACAGAGACCTCCCCTTACTCTTTTTTTTTTCAAGTGACTTGCCCAGGGTCACACAGCTAATGAGTATCGTGTGTCTGAGGCTGCATTTGAACTCAGGTCCTCCTGATTCCAGGGCCAGTGCTCTATCCACTGTGCCGCCTTGCTGCCCCACCCTTACTCTCTTGATCTCCCCTCAGCCCTAGAGTCACATCAGCTGGCTTAGGGATTCCAGACCAGAAGCCTGGACTCTCCTTACATTAAACTCCCATCCAGTGATTGCCTCAGACGGGGGGAGATGCTGCTGCCCTCCAGCTCCCAATAACTCCTCTGCCTCATCCCTCCCGCCCTCCTTGAAGTCTGAACTTTGATATTAATCAAATTCCTAGGAAAGTTTAGTTGGGTACTGAATTGTAGGGTGAGAAAGAACAGTAGGGGGAATGAGTCAGAACTGCTCTAAAGGAGAAAACTTTCCCTTTTCTATGCCTGGATCATGGAAAGGAGGTTTTAGCTCGACCTGACTGAGCTCAAAATACCCTCTCCTGTTTCAGTGTTGACAAGAAGGGTTACAAAGAAATGAAAGGTGAGAATCCTGGAGCAGAATCCAGACACTCATCTCCTGGATTGGGTCCTGATGGTTGGGCTCTTGACCTTGGGACATTTAATTCAATTTAGGGAAATCTAAGACTCATTGATTCCAACCGAGGGAAACCAGACTGACCCACCCCTAACAGGGAGGACTTAGTCTTAGTGGGACTTAAGAAAGCTCCTTTTATAGTAGAGACTGCCTTCTGTCTTCCACTATCTTTGCTTGTGAAATCCTGAGGCTGATTTGGGTCAGCTGGTTCCTTTGATCTCTGCCCTGACCTCTTCTCAAATTTTCCTTACAGCAGCCCATCTATCTGTGGCATCTGGACTTGGAATCAGCAGGTCTGAGCTTGTGTTCCACCCATCTTGACCATTGACTGACTATCTGTGAGATCTTGGGCTAATCATTTAACTCTGAGCCTTGTTGCAATTTGTTTTCATGTATAAAAATAGAGATTTGGACTAGGGGACCTTTAAGGTCACTTACCACCTGGGTCATTATGAAGATCAAATAAGATAATATTTGTAAATGGCTTAGCACAGTGCTAGGCACATAGCAGATGCCCGCTTCCTTCCCTCCTAGATCTAAAAATCTATGATTTCGTACTGGGCAGCACGTATTCAGAGTTTAGGTTTCAGTTCCCTTTCCTCCAGCAGACTATTGCAATTACCACCTGGTGGCCAAACTCTGCTCAGCCAATGAGCCTCTGCCCCACCCTACAGCAGCCTAGGCAAGAGACATTTTCCAGAAGCAAGCATTTACTGTTAAACAGTGAAATCCACACCTCTTCCCCCAATCCCCTGATGCCAGGAATGGACTCCCTCCTGACAACCACCTCTTAGAATTCCTCATCTCATTCAAGACCTAGCTCAAGAGCCTCCTTTTACACGAGGTTTTTCTTTTTTTTAACCAGTCAGTAAGCATTTATTAAGCACCTACTATATGCCAGATTCTGTACTAAGCACTGGGGATACAAAGAAACAGGACAGTCCCTGTTCTCAAAGAGCTCACAATCTAATGTGAGTTAATACATGGCATTAGCCCCACCAAGTACAAAATTCGAAGAGTGCACTATAGTCATTTGACCTGTTCCCATACTCCCTTCAAGGCTTTCATCTTCTTATTTATTTGCTTCTAATTTATGATTTATTTTAGTAATCTTTTACAAATATTTTAATTTCAACTTCTCTCTCCCTCCAGCCCCTTCTCTACCCACTGAGAAGGTGAGCAATATATCAATTCTACACATGAAATCATGCAAAACCTATTTCCATATTTCCATATTCCAAAAGGCTTTTCCATATTCCCCAGAACTACTAGATCCTTCCCCAACAAAATTACTATTTGTATTTTGCATCTCTTTTCTATCTGTCAATGCTTACCTGTCCCAATAGAATGCAAGCTCCTTGAGGGCAGGAACTATTTAACTTTTGTCTGTATTTCCTAGCCAGTGTCTAGCATACAGTAGGTACTTAATAAATAATTATTGGTTGATCTGAATGACTCATAGGATGGTAGATCTAAAGCTGGATGGGTCCTTAGAAGTCATCATCAAGTCCAAGATGAGGTAACTGAGGCCTAATGAAATTGAATGACTTGCTCAAGGTTATATAGGGTAGTATCAGAGGCAGGATTTCAACCAAGGTCCTCTGACTTCAGAGCCCCTGCTCTTTCTCCTGAACCAGGCTACTTCTCATGATTTCATCTGTGTGGGCTTTCTGGCCATGGACAGTCATAACTCCTCTCTGACTTACTAAAATTGCTGGGTTCCTATCACTAAAAAAACCATCCCCCTAGGATGATGCTCAGAAGCCATCAGTGATGCAAGTAGATCCCTCCAAGCAGTACTGTCAGGGCCACCCTGTCCTAGAAGAGCCCTGACTCAGCTCAGGTAGCCCTGTGTACACCTTTTTCCTAGAAATACACCCAGACTGGGTGAAATGACATGACCTGGACTAGAAATCAAAGTTAAATCACAAAGATCTCCTGCCATTTACTTAAGGGGGCAATCGATCATGGCATTTTTTGAACCTTGCAATTTGGAGTGTCAGCTGACTGTTCATTAATTCAAGAGAATAATCAGGTTTCCAGAATTGGAAGGGCTTGCCTAGCCCAAACTGTGCCAGCACAGAATACACTCTGTGCAGAGGTCTCAAGTCAAGTCAAATCAATGAGCATTTAACTGGTAAATGGTCATAGAGGCTTTGACCTCAAAGTTTCCAATAAGGGTACCACCTATCATCTAATAGGACCCATACCTATGGGGCAGCCCTTTCTCCTTTGGGATGTTTGGGAATCTTAGGAAACTTTTTTTGCCTGAGACTAAATAATCTGTCTCTGCAACCTCCCCCCACTTTCTCATTCTGACCTCTGAAAATAAGCAGAAAAGGTCTAATCCTTATTCTATCTGACAGTCAGTCCTTCAAGCCTGAACAGAATCATCATTGCCCCCTAAATTCCCTCTTCTCCAGGTTAAAAAAAATCTTCTAGTGGATTATCAAGTAATACACTCTCTAACCATCCTGGCTATATGCTTTTCTACATGGTTCAGTAACCTAGGTTCTTCCTCAAATGATATGATGTGACCAGAGCAGAATATGAGGAGTTCAGCCACGATGTTTATTCTCTTGATTCATTTGACCGTAGATGTGGCGCTAGAAGGGACCTCAGAGGGCATCTGGGCCAGTTTTACAGATGAGGAAACTGAGGCCCAGGAAAGTAAAGTGATTTGCCCAGGATCATAGAGTTAGTATGTTTCTGAGGCAGGATTCAAACCAAGGTGTTCTGACTCTAAGCCTGGTTCTCTAAGCACTACATAGCACTGCCTCTCTGTATTATTTTTCCCCCTTTTAAATCAGCATCAGATCTCAACAGGTATGCTTACGGTAATGAGATTATAGTCTCCAGTCAGCCACTGCTCAAGCCCAACTGATTGATTCTACCCTCTCTCCCTCCTTCCTTCTCTTCCTCCTGTCTCTTTCTCTCTCTTTCTATGTTTCTATGTCTGTCTCTTTCTCTGCCACTCTCTGTGTCTGTGTCTCTCTGTGTCTGTGATTCTGTCTCTCAGTGTTTATGTGTCTCTGTGTCTCTGTGTCTCTGTCTCTCCCCTTTTCTGCTCTGTCTTTGGTTTTCTCTGTCTGTCTCCTTTCTGTCTTTCTGCTTGTCTCTCTCTTTCTCCCTGTCCCAGATAATAGTTCACTTCAGATTTCTCTGTTTCACCATCCGTCACAGTATCTTTTACTTCAAATTAATCTCCACTGCCCTTTTCTAAGAAATATTAATTCAAATCCATCAAAGCTCCCAATGTGGTATGCAGTGTAGATGGTACTAAGTTTAGACACAGAAGACCTGGGTTCAAATCTTGCTTCTGCCACTTGTTATCCATAGGACCTTGGACAGACTAACTTCTCTCAGAATCAATTTCCTCAATTGTCAAATAAGGGTGTTAGACTAGATGGCCCCAAAGGTCCCTTCCAGTTCTAAATTCAGACGCTTCACCTTTCTCCTTTTAGGCTGCCTTAGATGTTAATCATCCTCCATGGGCTTGGCACACAGATGGTTTCTTTTTGATCCTCACACAACAGGAAGCTTCTAGAAAGCAAGGCACTGGCATCCTTCTTCTTCTTGATGCAACTAATAAGGTGATGCAGAATTCTCCTCTTTCATCCTTCCCCTTCACTTTCTCCCTCCCTAAATGCCTTTCACTTCCCTTTGCTGGACTTCTCTTTCCTCCTCCCCTTCATTTACGCTTTAGGATAATTCTGTAGTCAGTGGATATTCTGCTTTTGTTCTTTTGATGGCTCCAGGTCAGGGCAAAATTTTGAAAGGGGGAGGGAGTGTTTTGTCTCCTCTGCTCATCCTCTGAAAGAATATCTTTCTGATTCCTTCCCCTTCCTTTCCATCTTGGCCACCTTTTTGAGTGAACTTTATTTGTGACATCTCTTTCTAAGAACTATTAATTCAGATCTTCAGTTCTCCTTTCGTTTTCCACTTCTCTTCCAGTGACTTTTGTTTCTCACCCTCTCTCTTTCTCTCCCTCTCTCTTCCCTGCCACCTCTTGAGTCCTCTTTATTTTTTCCTTTCAATTTCAAGTTTTAAAACTCAGTACCCTTGCCCAGTCCTTGAAGTGTGTAAACACAGTTGTTTGCTTGGGTTTTGGTCATGTATACGGGCTTATTTACTTTTCTGAAGTTCCTTTTGTTTGATGATTTTCATATCAAATATACGTCTTACCTTTTGTTCCATCAGCAACGATGATGCAAATTTCTCCCTTTTGCTGAAATCTAAGACTTTTCAATTGATAACGACGTTCAACTATGCAGGAGGGAGCACTAACTTCCTTTACTTTTTGAAGTAACATTCCAGTTCTTCCTTTCATTTTTTTTTTTGAGATAAGAAATAGTGTTGTGCAATTTGGACTTTTTGTCCTCTATATGTAGAGGACTTCTTCCAGGTTGATTGCAAGATTTGTTTAATGTTGAAACTCTGCACTGTACAATGTTTTTGGGTGAGATGATGACTTCTGTGAATCCTGTCAATCTGTTCTTTACCTTGTTTCCAATACCTCTGGGCAATATTCTTGTATTATTTCCTGAAACAAGATATTCAGTCTTTTTATTTCATTGTGTTTTTCTGAAGGAATGGTTATCTTCAGAGCTTTTTTTTTTTTTTTGCCACCTTCTGAATGTCTTCAAGATTAGTTGCTATGGTTTATGGAGAGTTCAGGTATTTTAATCCTGCAGTCGTTTGATTTGATTCTGATCTTTTTTTCTCCTACCTCTGCAATTTTGAGTTTTAAATCTTCCACTCTTTTTTTTCACCAGAAGATCTACTGTTTTGGGGAAATTCTCCATTATTCTAAAAAGTAATCTACTTTTTTTTTTTCTTTTTAAGTTGTTCTTTGAATGCTTTGATTCCCATCCTTATGTCTTCATAACTTCTTTATGGATCTTCTAAACAATATGGGAGATTTTTGCAGTTGTTTCATTATTATTCTTGATTTTCATCACTGTTGCTGGAGTTTGAATATCACTTTCTTTTACTCTATAATAGTTGTTCATGATATTGGAGTTTCTTTTTGGTTGTTTATTCTTTTTTTTTTCCCCCAGTCACTTTGTGGGTTATTCTTCCAGGTCTTTCTTGTGATGAGTTCTTTTCCTAGCTGCTATTTGTTGTTTGTGATTGTTCTTCTGCCCTGTTTGGTGTATTTCTTATTGTTTGGAGGTGATGACAATAGGCTTAAACACAGACTCTCACTCAGACAATCTGTTGGAATCCCCTCCCTCAACTTTCTGAGACAGAACCTTCTTGTCCTCCCTCTCCAAGCAAAGGTATATCAACCCAATTTACAGCTCTCAGGCCGACAGTGTGACGGAATGGACTGATTACACATTGAGGTTGTGTGATGTTAGGGCCACCATCTGCCAGGATAACTGAATCTCACCGCTCCCTCTAGTGGAGTCTTCATATAATGATATCAATCACTTGTCTATGTGACCAATCACCCCCTGCTAACTCACAGATCTGAAAATTGTTGTAAGGATCCTCAGAGGGCATTTAGTCCAACCACTACTAGATTAAGGAAGGTGATGACATGACATGCAAGTGAACCCATGACATCACCTTCCTTGATGTCATGGTCCTCTTCAAGAATGAAGGACAAGGGGTGGCTAGATATTGCAGGGGATAGAGCACTGGCCCCGGAGTCAGAAGGACCTGAGTTCAAATCTGGCCTGAGACTCACTAGCTGTGTGACTCTGGGCAAGTCACTTAACTCCAATTGCCTTACCAAAAAAAAAAAAGAATGAAGGACAAACAGTAACCTCTGTGCATAGAAAAGGAGTTGGGCAACATTGGTTTTCTTTCTTTCTCTCTCTTTCTTCTCTCCCTCTGTCCACATGGGGTATCACCCCTTACCTGTGGATGCTCTGCCCAGTGGGAATGTAAAATTTAATCTTTGAACCTTTTTTCTTCCTTTCCTCTTAAAGACCAGCCTTAACTCTGGCTCCCCAAATTACTCCAGCTCTCATTGATTGACCAATAATAAGTCCCAAGCTAAGCCTTACTAGATCATTGTTTGTGTCTTGATTGGCTCAGAAGGAATGTAATTAACAATTGTTTCTGTTCTGGCCAGAAACCCTGAGGATCTTCCACTCCCAGATCTTTTTTTTTTAAGAGGCCATTATTTGCCTTATCTCTTATTAAGCTTTAATCACTAAATAGGTTTCGCCTCAGTCGAACCGAGACCTGTTAAAGACCTTAGCTTGAAAAGGCCATGGTTCCTGGGCCATCTCTAGTCATCCTGATCCATATCTGTCCACTGGACCGGGAAAGCTCTGGAGGTAAAAGTGAGGCTAGTGACTTTGCACAGCCCTGCCTCACTTAAGTCCAATTCACTTGCATGTCATGGCGTCACCTTCCTGATGGCATGGTCCTCTTTGGCAACGAACAAACAAACAACTAGATCAAGCGTCTTCTCGACAATATTTCTAACAAATGGTCATCCCACCTGCATTTAAAGACTTTCTGTGATGGGCTGCTCACTACTACACCTCCTAAGTTAGCCCATACCACTTTGGTATGGCTCCAAAGTCTAGGAAGCTTTTTTCTTACATTCTTCTTCAATCTGGCTCTCTCAAATAGCTATGAATTTCAGCCTTGAAACATCCTGGCAGCCATGTCTGTTGTGACTACAGAAAATTCCAAGGTAATCCAAAATAGAGGGAGCATATGGGGGATCTTAACCCTTCCTTATGTGTCATGGATCCCACCCTCTGGCAATCTGGTGAAGACTACAGACCCCTTCTCTGAATAATGTTTTTAAATGCACAAAATAAAGTAGATAGGATTGTAAAAGAAACCAATTATATCAAAATATTCTTATCAAAATATTTAAAAGATCAACAACCAAGTTCACAGACCCCAGGTTAAGAACTCCTCATATAATATATACAGAATAATAATTTTTGCAAATGGGGGACCTGGGTTCAAATCTCAGTTCTGCTATTTATATGACTTTGAGCAAATCCCTTCCCCTCTCTAGGCCTGAGCTACTCCAAATGTGAAATGAATGAACTGAACTTGATGAGCTCTGATGGGTCCCATCCATCTTCCAGTCCTACAAAGCTAACATTTCCCCTCCATAGTATACCAAAGGCTGCATCTAAAGTCCAGGTTGACAGATGGCAGGCCCCAGAAAAGCCCCTACATTTGGAGACTGGGTCTGTTTGTCTACCTGCTGTCTCCCTTTTCTAAAAATGTATAGCCATTTCCTAAGCTCCTTCCCCATTGCAAAGATCATCAATCCCTTAGTGTACCTCATACTCCTCCTCGTTTGCCCATATAAAATGTACTTTCATAAATCGAGTGGGAAGAGCATTGGCTCTGGTGTCAGCAGGTGTGGGTTCAAATCCCACACCTGACATTCATTTCTTGTGTGACCTTGGGCAAATCTCTTAATGGGGCCTCAGCTTCCCCAACTACAAAATGAGGGGATGGGACCAGATGATCTCTGAGGTCCATCTATGATCCCTTAATCCTTTGAACCTCACTACTGTCAACCCACCACAAGCCCAGCACGGTTGTGATCACCATCTTTTCTGGTGAGAAACTTGGAGTGGAAACAATCCTGCACTTCCCAGCTCAAATGAGGATCACTCCCAAACCTTGGTAAGTGAGAGGGGTTATGGTCCTGAAGATCAGACCTGGGAACTAGATGCTCCTTTACATGTCACCTATAGAATACAATTCTAATATTCCATAAATCCAGAACTCTCCCCTAGGCAGAAGGTTTAGGAGGAAGGATTAGGCCACTCCTGCAAAACCTTTGCTTTCAACCCCGTGAATGTTCCCACTGAGAAGAAACCAGGCATATTGGTAATCTCTGGGCCCCTAAGTCTGGGAGCATTTAACTACCTCCAACCCAGACTTCAAGGTCCCTTCGATGAGCCACTCCAATTCACTAAATTGATTTCATGGAAATGATTCTGGCTCAGAGATATTGGGCAATCTGCTGGAGGTCTATAGACTAGATTAAGTACCAAAGAGAACACTTAAATCCCAATTTCTTAACGCTGAGTTCAGTCTTCTTTCTTCTATGCTAACTGCTTCCTAATTCAGGTTCAGAAGGTACAGTGAAAGGAACCCTGAACTTGGAGTCCTGGAATCTCAGTTTGAATCTTGACTATAATTGCTTCTCTGTGTCTCTTTGGCCAATTCATTTAACTGGCCTCAGTTTCCTCATCTGTAAAAATAAGGAGGATGGACTAGATCAAAGATGTCAACCATGTGGGGCCAGTAACACTCCCTCATGTGGCCAGAACTAGATTAAAATTTAATTGGAAATATTTAACAAAATACATAAAAATACAATTAAACATAGATAATGTTCACATTTGGTTTTTGGTCAATATGTGCCTGAAGCATCTGTATGTAGAGTTTCATGGTCATTTTTCTGTTTGAGTTTGATATTACTGTTGTATAGCTATAGTCCTCCACTTTGGCAAAGCAGCCTGGGAAAAATACCTTCTCACCTCTCTTCTTTGGGGGTCAAGCTTGGTCATTAGACCTTCACAGCATTTAGTTTTGACTATGGGTGAGGGGTAGTATTACTGTTGAGAGAGGCAGGGTGGTAGAATGGAGGAGACACTGGTTGGGGGTGGTAAAGGATTCCAATTCCAATGTTCTCATGCATGTGGGGTGCCTGGCCTTCCCAGGTTGTTAATAAAACTTCTTCCTGATTCAACAATGGCTTTATGGAATTTGTGATATAGATAACAGCTTCAGTTTACTCCTCTGTAAAATGAAGGGGGTCAGGCTAGATGACCTCTAAGACCTCTTCCATATATAATTTATGATCCTATAAGACTCTTCAGAACTGAACAAAAGTACAGTTAGGGCCTGTGAGGGAAAGGGAAAATGAGGGTTCAATGAGCCTTATTGATAACAGCTCTGTTGGGCTCACTTACCCTGGTTACTGCTTGCCTGTGGTCAAAGTCTGGCTTGGCTCCTGCCTTTTAATCAAAGCACTTTGGATTTTCTGTTGCTGACCTCCCTAACATCACCCCGTAACAAATCAGTTTGGCTTGTGATCTGTACAGTAATACTTTATCCACCATATCTCGAACTGAGAATCTACTTATCATTGAAAGTGAGCTACCCAATTGGCATGCTTATCACGTGTAATTAGCAAGAACAGCTTGGGTGGACCCAGAGAAAAAAGGGTACTTTTCCCTTCCATCTGGGCAGAGATGAGGAAATATGGGTGTGGAATATTTTGCATGTACTATCAGACATGTTGTTGTTTCTTTTCTTTTTAATTCTTTGATCTGAGGGATTAGCTAAGGGGAGGGAGAAGAGATGCGTTTGAAAATAAAGGCGATGCCAATGCAAAAGATCACAATAAAAATTTGAAAGAATAACCCCAAAAAGTCCCTGTAGCATTGGGCAGCTGTTCCAAGCCCACCTGCTGACTCTTTGGAGAATCTTGAAGAACACCACTTGGCTGCCTAGTTGGCAAGTCCACTAAACTGGGTAAAAAAATGGATAACCCAGACTTGCCAGTGTCTGTGATGAGAGACCAGCTCCAGAGATACAAAGAGAGAGCTTGGACTCCAACAACTCACCAGGCTTCAGGGGAGCCACCTTTGGATTCCACTCCCTGCTCTGCTATTTATCACCTCTGTAACCTTAGGCAAATCTCTCCTTCTTCCAGGCTGATTATAGAGAGAAATCTATTGTCCTGAATGCTCTGCAAGGGCACCTTGCAGCAATAAATTTATGATCCCATGATATAATAAGATGGGGGGTAGTGGGGGAGGGTAATTGTGTGAGATTAACCCTTGGATGAGAAGAAGTGAAAGCTGAGAAGAAAAATTTAAAAAAAAAGGTCAGGGAGGAGCCAAGACGGCAGAGTAAAAGCAGGGACTCGCTTGAGCGCTCCCCCAAACCCCTCCAAATACTAGTAAAAAAAATGACTCTAAACAAATTCTAGAACAGCAAAACCCACAAAAAAAAACTAGTGAAACAAATTTCCAGCCCAAGACAATCTGCATGGTCAGCTGGAAAGATCTGTTGTGCCAGGGTGGGAGAGGAGCGCAATTCAGCGTGGGCCACTCAGTCAAAGACAGGGCCTCAGCAAACCTGGAGCAGGTCTCAGAGGACTGAATCAAGGGGAGCTGTGGCAGTTTCCAGACTTCTCAACCCACAAATGCCAAAGACAACTTAGAAGGTCAGTGGGAAAGGTCTGGTGCATCCAGGTGAGAGAGGAGCATGGTCCATACTTGGCCCTGGCACAACCCTGGATGGCTGCTTCTGAAGCTCTTAGCCCACAGATGGTGAAGGGATCAAGCAGCTGATCAGAGGGTGATTGCAGGGATCTCTTTGCTGACTCTGAGGCAGGATCCTCTTGCTTTGCCCATGCTTGGATTTGGGTCTATTCCTGGGTGGCAGTTCTGAATCGAGGAGGAGTGCTGGTGTAGCAGAGCTTGTGGCAGCAGTGAAGAGGGAACTCTTCTCTCATTTCCAGGGCAGAAAAGAGTGCTTGTGGTCACTCACAGACCAGAGCGCAGGCCAGGAGAGGAGTAAACACCTTTCCTTAGATCATACCATCTTGGAAGAACTGTAAACTTACAGGTCCCTAGAAGTATCTCTGAAAACAGCTGCACAAAACCCCTGAAACTTGGGACAGTACACCCTCCACACTGGAAGCAGAGCCCTACCTTAACAAAGAGTTAAAAAGTTAAGGAACTGGCTGGGAAGATGAGCAAACAGAGGAAAAAAATTCAGACTATAGAATCTTACTTTGGTGACAAGGAAGATCAAAACATACAACCAGAAGAAGACAACAAAGTCAAAGCTCTTACATCCAGAGCCCCCAAGAAAAATATGAATTGGTCCCTGGCCATGGAAAAGCTCAAAAAGGATTTTGAGAAGCAAGTAAGAGAAGAAGAGGAAAAACTGGGAAGAGAAATGAGAGTAATGCAAGAAAATCAAGAAAAACAAGTCAACAGCTTGCCAAAGGAGACCCCCCCAAAAATACCTTAAAAAATAGATTAGACCAAATGGCAAAAGAGATCCAAAAAGCCAATGAGGAGAAGAATGCCTTGAAAAACAGAATTGGCCAAATGGAAAATAATGTCCACTGAGGAAAATAATTCTTTGAAAATTAAAATGGAGCAAATGGAAGCTAATGACTCTATGAGAAATCAAGAAATTACAAAACAAAACCAAAAGAATAAAAAAAAAAAAAGAAGACAATGTGAAATATCTCATTGGAAAAACAACTGACCTGAAAAATAGATCCAGGAAAGATAATTTTAAAATTATTCGACTACCTGAAAGTCATGATAAAAAAAAGAGCCTAAACATCATCTTTCAAGAAATTATCAGGAAAAACTACCCTGATATTCTAGAACCAGAGGGCAAAATAGAAATTGAAAGAATCCACTGATTACCTCCTGAAAGAGATCCCAAAAGGAAAACTCCCAGGAATATTATAACTAAATTCCAGGGTTTCCAGGTCAAGGAGAAAATATTGCAAGCAGCCAGAAAGAAACAATTCAAGTATTGTGGAAACACAATAAGGATAACACAAGATTTAGCAGTTTCTACATTAAGGGATTGGAAGGCTTGGAATATGATATTCTGGAGGTCAAAGGAGCTAGAATTAAAACCAAGAATCACCTACCCAGAAAAACTGAATGTAATCAATGAGGGGAAAAAACTGGTATTCAATGATGTAGAGGAATTTAATGCATTCTAGAGAAGCCAGAGCTAAATAGAAAATTTGACTTTCAAATACAAGACTCAAGAGAAGCATGAGAAGGTAAACAGGAAAGAGAAATCATATGGGATTTATTAAAGTTTAACTGTGTTATTTCCTACATGGAAAGATGATATTTGTAACTCATGAGAACTCTCTCATTATTAGGATAGTTGGAAGGAATATATATAGACAGAGGACACAGGGTGAGTTGAATATGAAAGGATGATATCTAAAAAGGAAAATTAAAGGGTGAGAGAGGAATGTACTGGGAGAAAGGGAGAGGAGAATAGGGTAAATTATCTCACATAAAAGAGGCAAGAAAAAACTTTTATAGTGGAGGGAAAGAGTGGGGAGGTAAGAAGGAATGAGTGAACTGTACTCTCATCAGATTTGGCTTAAGGAAGGAATAATATACATACCCAATTGGGCACGGAAATCTATCCTACCCAAAAAGAAAGTAGGGAGGAAAGGGATAAGAAAGAGAAGGGTGATAGAAGGGAGGGCAGATTGGGAGAGTGATTAATCAGAAGTGAACACTTTTGAGGAGGGACAAGGACAAAGGAGAGAATAGAATAAATGAGGACCAGGACAGGATAGAGGGAAATATAAGTCTTTCACAACATGACTATTATAGAAGTGTTTTGCATGACTGCACATGTATAGCCTATGTCAAATTGCTTGACTTCTCAATGAGGGTGGGTGGAAAGAGGAGGTGAGAGAATTTGGAACTCAAAGTTTTAGAAATGAATGCTAGAAATTGTTTCTGCATGCAACTGGGAAATAAGATACACAGACAAAGGGGTATAGAAATCTATCTTACCCTACAGGA